TGGCTCAGAGGTTAAAGCGTCTGCCCGCAATGAGGGAGACCTGGGTTCGATCCCTGGGTTGGGAAGATCCCTTGGAGAAGGAAATGACAACCCACTCCAGTACTCTTGCCTGGAGAATCCCATGGACGGAGGAGCCTGGTGGGCTACAGTCCACAGGGTCGCAATGAGTCAGACACGACTAAGCAACTTCACTTCACACTGATGAACCTCTTATGATTTTAAAGAAACCCAAAGCCTTTGGGAATGAGGCCGGCAGACACCCCGTGCTCCCTAACCCGAGACAGGGCACAAGGAAGGGTCCAGGCCTCACACTTGGGTTTCCCTTCACAGCCATGACCTCCGGAGGCAGGCCCCGCCTCTGCGTCTCTGAGCCTCGGTGCCTGGAGGGTACCCAGTGCAGCTCATCACGCATTTGGTCACAGGTCTGTGGGTGCCTGGGGCTTCCTAGGTGACTCAAGTGGTCAAGAGTCCGCCTGCCAACACAGGAGACGCGGGAGACTCAGGTTCGATCCCTGGGTCGGGAAGACCCCCTGGAGGAGGAACCAGCAGCCCAGTCCAGCATCCTTGCCTGCGAAATCCCATGGACAGAGGAGGCTGGCGGGCTACAGTCCATGGGGTCACAGAGAGTCAGGGACAGCTAGATGACTGAGCGGGGCCCCGGCTCCTCTGCCTGGCGAGAGGGGTGGGCATGTCTGTGGGGGCACAGAGTGCAGAATGGAGGTGGTCTGAGAGTCCCCTCGGCTCTGCTGGGGGTGGTCGTGAAAGCCCCTGCTCTGGGGGGAGCAGGAGAAAGTGGACCAGCTCGTGGGATGGGGAGGCAGGCTCAGCCTTGTGGTCAAACATCCTTCTCTGCGCCAGCCTTAAAGACAAACGACCCTCCCAGCCTCCAGTGCCGTTTGCAGGAGGCATGTTGGCAGCAGGAAGTAAAATAGACTGTGTTACAGGCAGGGAGTTTCTGAGCCATCTTATGCCCCAAGGCTAGCACTAGTGTGAGTCTGGGAGTGTTTCATGCTTACATCAGCCCGTCAATCACAACATAACCACGGGAACAAGGCGGGCAGAACCCCCGTGGGACCAATATCCATTAGTCTCAGGGAGGAAAGGGGTCTCCTGCCTGTCTGCTCTCAGGGCCGCAGTTCACCGGTAGGCCTAGCCGCCTGCTAAGTCTCCAGCACAGAGGACCTTGGCCTCAAGGTTCGGAGAAACTATTCATGTGAGCTAATTAGCGGTGACAGCACCTTCCACCCGATACTCACAGAGCACAGGGCCGTTTCCAGGGGGTGCCCGTGGCAGTGTGGACACGGGGATTGTCCCCAGTGTCTTCCGGGGGTGGGATCCGGTGTCCTGGGACAGAGCGTCGGGTCCCAGCACCTAGCACTCGTCCTGCCCACATCATACTCGGGGGTAAGGTCACATCCCTGGGCTCAGCTCCTCTATGATGGCCCCGAGGGCAGCGCCTGGTGGGACCAGCCCGGCTCCTCCAGGTCATCAGGCTGTGAGTCATCAAGGCTGCGAGAGGTCCTGAGGCCTCCAGTGGACGTGATGGGGGAGGGTGGCAGGCCCGGGACCCCATCTATCACCTGCCAACCGGGACCCCTAACTCGGGGGTCAAGAGAGCCACTCCATCCCCCCAGGCTCCGCCCACCCCGGCATGGGCTCTGGCATAGAAACAGCACCCCTGGGTCCCAGGATGATAAGCAAATGGTGTTTGCATCTTCTCCTAATTTTTCAAATCATGTCTATTTTTTCATTATAAAGAAAATGCATTTTCAGGATAAAAAACAGAAATGCACAAAAAATCCAAATGAGAGCTCATGTCACTCCCAGCATCTGCTCTGGCCCCATGGGGGACCAGGGAGCCATGGGGAATCCGCTTGGGCGTCTCTGCCCCAGTGCTCCTGACACAGAGCCCGTCCTGGGCGCTCTGGAGAGCTGACCACGACGGCAATCTCTACACACTGCTCCAGGAGCAGCTCCCCAGGGGTGACCCTCAGGATGTCTCCAGATGTTGCGGAACATTCCCTGGGGGCACGGGCACCCCCAGTTGAGAGTGACTGACTGGCCTAAGCAGAGATCAGATCAGGAAAGTCTCCAACTTTGAGCATGGGGACCGGGAGGCGTCTTGGGCGATAGGTGCCGGAACTTCTTGGAGGCCGAGATTAGACACTTTCAGGAACATCCGCCAGGATAGAGGTCACAGGTCAGGGTCCCCAGTGTTCAGAGGCCCCCTGGGGTGAAGGAGCTGCCTCTGTGTGCCTGTGCCCACCCCCACCCAGACACCTCGGGGTCCAGGGCTCCTGTAGAACCCAGTGGACAGCAGGGAGGCCTCTGCAAGAACAAGAGAGGTGACCTGCAGCTGACGAGGCCCCGACCCCCTGGGATGCGCCGTCGTGAGGGCCAAGGGCCCCGGGGGGGCAGGTGACCGTGGAGGGCCTGGACAAGCAGGTGCATAGGGACCCCAGGGAGGGCCTCTCAGGGCAAGCTGCCACAGCCCTGCACCTGCTCCAGAGGCCGGAGCCCAGGACCCCTGCCCTGGTGCTGGCCTCCAGCCTGGCTGAGGATGTCAGCAGGGGAGGGAGAGTGAAGTGACCCACAGATGCAAGCAAAGAGGAGAGCGGCGCCCCCAGCCCAGCCCCCAGCCCCAGGAGCTGTTCCTTGACCCTGGACTTGGGCCCTTCCACACCACCTGCTCCTGAGCAGACAGCCACTTTCTGCCCCCACAACCAACCAGGCCCGGCCTGAGAGGGTCTTCTCCGAGGGGAGGAGCCGGCCATCAGGGATGCAGGCCGGGTTCCACTCCCCCCACCCCCCACCGCTGCCCCCACCAGTGCGAGTGGATGCAGAGTCGAAGGAAAGCTACCGGGACAGATTTCAGGGGCAGATGGCCCGAACGGTTTGGGTCCTGCTGTCCCGCAGGCTGATGCCATGTGAAGACACACCAACTACCAGGGCTTAGTCAGCAAATTACTGAGAAGTCAGCGTCTGGTGACACTGGGCGGAAGGAAGGGCAGCCTCTGGGGCCGGCGGAGCCGGCCCTGGTCCTGCAGGGCTCCCTCTAAGCTGTGCGACCTTGGGAGAGCCCCTCACTTGGAGGACAGGTCAGAGGGGAACAGCACCTGCGATCCCAGCAAGGATGACACAAGAGGATGCGAGCCGCGTGGGCAAGGTACCCGAGCGCAGCAAGAACGACAGACATCAGCGTCTTCACAGCATCGTTCGTGCTGACCTGCAGTGGTCAAAGGAGCCCCAAACAGAGGGCAGTGCCGGGAACCCACGTCGCCCCCCCGCCCCCCGGTTCTGTTGGCATCATAGCCAGGCTGGCTGTTGGGGCGGTCAGTGCATTTGACGTCAGCGTTTAATTTCTGGAAATCACGGCACCGACTTGAAGTAAATGAATATTCTAGGGTTTGACAGCGTTTGCAAAGAACAGGACAGCAGGGGTTCCCTGGGAGGATGTTCATGGTTTTCTTGCAGAAGAGCCTTCTCCCACCGGAGCCTGGGGTGGTCAGACGATCCAGACGGATGGCCCAGAGACAGACACCGTTCCCGGGGAGCCGGAGCCTGGGGTGGAGGGGGGACAGGCTGTGTTCCATCTCCAGCCCCCCTTCAACGGCAGCCACAGTTCACGTGGTGCCAGGTGGCATCACTGAACCGTCACCGCTGCCCTGCAAGGCGCTGGACTCATGTCTCAGGGTTGCTGTAACGAGCCACACAGACATGCTGCTCAAACAACAGAAACGCATGTTCTCGTAACTCTGGAGGCTGGAGACCAAGGGGTCAGCAGAGTTGGCTCCATCAAGGCCTTTCTCTTGGACTTGCAGACAGCTGTCTTCTCCTTGTCCTCTCGTGGTCTTGTGTCTGGGTCCCAATCTCCTCTGCTTATAAGGCCACCAGTCACATTGGACTGGGAACACCCTAAAGACCTCATTTTAACATAGACCTTTCTCCAAACATAGTCACATCTAAGGTCCTTGGGGTTAGGGCTCCAACAGGGGAATCTGGGGGTTGACACAGTTTGCACCATAACCAGTGGTTTACGATCCCAAATTCACTGGTGAGGACACAGCGCCTTCAAACGCTAAGGTCCAAGACCCCCCCTCTAATTAGCCTTCATCTGTCTGGGTCTCCTTGGCTGAAAAACTCATTCACCCAGTGAACACTTGTGGAGGTCCTGTGATGGAGGGGACGTGGGCATCCCAGCTCTGGAGCTCATGTTCTCGAGGACGCAGTGTTTCCCTTGGCTGGACAGCGGAGTCTACCTGCATGAGGCCGTTGTTTGGACTGACCCAGGTGCAGGCCACACTGAACCTGCCCTCATAAGGCAGATCAAGTGCAGAAATGGACTCAGCACAGCAGCACCAGTTTCTCTCATCTGTGGTGTCCACAGGGCGGGGCGGCCTTCACCATCTCTCCGTGATGCCCTCGGAGCCTGAAGCCTGAGCAGGGCTCACCCCTGGACTTCCAGGCACTCTGGGGGAGCCGTCACCCCAGGTTCTGCCCCACCCAGGCTGCCTGCCCCCTGCAAACTCTCCCAGGGTGTGAACGCTACAATCAGGAAGGGGCGAGGGTTGGAGAGACGACTGGGAGGTGACTGGAGTGGGTCTAAGCAGACGGCCAGGGGTCACTGGAGAGGAGGGAAGGCCTCTGGGCGAAGGCACCCATGCTCAGAGCTGGGGGGCTGCGTAGCCCCGCAAGATGGGATGAGAAAGGGGAGTGCGGTGTGTGTGTATGGGGGGAGTGGCTTCAGGAAGTCCCGCCCAGTGAGCACAGAGCCAGCTTCTCCCAGCGTCTTTCTCCGGAGCTCAGGCCTCCCGGCTTCGTGGTGAAACACTTGTCCCCTTCCGTCTCTGTCTTTTAAAATGGGCATTCAATGCCTTATCCACAGATCTTTTAACTTCCAAGGAGATAAACAGTCCAGAGGTCACAACTAAAGCCTTGGATCTGCCTGCATCTCGGCAACCTCTACCGTCTCACCTCCTCCCCACCCCACTCCTCCGAAGGACGAGCCCCTAAAGCCGCCTCCTGCGGTGTCACAGACATCATGACCTCAGAGGCGGCCGCAGCATTTTGGTGACGATAAAGCCCTTGGCAAACATGAACTGTTATTGCTATATTCCTTCCCTTGGTGCAGAGAAGACGCTTGTAGGAACTGTATGAAACGTTGAAGCAAATTAAGTTTTCGTCTGCCCCTTGATACGGGACCAAGTATAATTGAATTTCCGAACTTCCATCAGCTGTTTTGAGTGGTAGGAATATCTAGGTTCCTTTTGAGTCCCTTTTTTATTTTGGAAACATTTGAACCATAGTTCTTTCAGTTTACAGAGGAATCCTCAGGATAAAACCTCACAGGCATTATGTTGACTGGCTTCAATGATGAGTCCTGAGGGTTACCCTGGGACATTCAGCCCTGGAGTGCAGGGTTTTCTGGGGAGTCACCTGCAGGGCAAGACGTGGGGCTGACCTGAGAAACACCTGCACCGGGGACAGAAGACCTCGGGCTCCTGTGACTGCCCATGTCAGAGTCCCAGAGGGCTGTCTTCTCACCTGCTGAGATCCAAGAGGGCAGGAGACCTGGTTTCACAGACCTTGAAACATTCCAGATCCTGGCGTGGATGGTCAAGGATGGAGTGGGGGGTGGGCTTCAAGCCAGGAGTGTTCTCAGGAAAGCTTGGAGCTGCGGGGCTGCCCTCCCCACCCTCAACTGCCTCCCTGTGGGAACGGTGATCAGGCCCCTGCTTCGGGGACCCTCAAAGCCACGTTTACAATCTGCCCGAGAGAGAGTCCTGGTGGCTCAGAGGGTAAAGACTCCACCTGCACTGCAGGAGACCCAGGTTCAATCCCTGTGTCAGGAAGACTCCACGGAAAAGGGAATGGCTTCCCACTCCAGTATACCTGCCTGGGAATTCCTATGGACAGAGGAGCCTGGTGGACCACAGTCCATGGGGTCACGAAGAGTCAGGTAGGACTGAGAGACTAACACTTCACTTTTTTCGAGAGAAACAAAATAACCAAGAATGTGGGGCTTGAAGAAGGTGGGTCCGGGTTGTGGCCAGCCCCAGCGGGGTCTGTGTGGAGCTTTCCACCTGCAGAGCTAGAGGCAGTCGTCCCCGAGGCAGGCTCCCTCCTTCCTTCCTTTTACAGTCTGATTAGAACTTGAGCAGAAGGACTCGGAGAAAAACTTGGGGGGAGAAGCAAGCCCAGCGAGCCCCGCCATGGTGTAATTTAAAGCAGTTTTGCCGACGGAGCAAAACAGTCAGAGGAGACCAGCTGAGGGCGGGTGGCTGAGAAGTTTTTTTGTTTTTTTTTAATCACTTGGGCAAATGGTTTGTGCCCCCTCAATGTGACTTATGTGAAGTTCGATATTCCCCCACGGCCATTCTTCATTCGAGAACGGGAGGAGAGGGTTGGCGGGAGCTTAGAGATCTCACTGAGCATTTTCACTATCGATTTTTCGGGACTGGTTGACGAATGGGGCCATTTGGCACCAGGATCCTAGGGAATCGGAGGGGATCTCAGGTCTAGTGTTGATACGGGAGCTGAAATGTGTGTTCCTGGCAGGGAGGTGGGGAAGACAAGTCCAAATACGTCTTGTCTTCTGTACAGATAAACCTCAGTCCCAGGAGGGTGCCTCACTTTACAACCAACACATAACTCACGGTAACATTTTAGAGAAGTTTTACAGTGGCATATTAGAAACCATGTTTGGGGGACCTCCCTGGAGGCCCACTGGTTAAGACTTCGCCTTCCGGTGCAGGGAGGTGGGTTTGATCCCTGGGCAGGGAGCTCAGATCCCACATGCTTCGTGGCCAAAAATCCAAAACATAAAACAGAAGCAATACTGTAACAAATTTGATAAAGACTTTAATAAAACTGCTCATTTTATATATGTAGTCTATCTAGTCAAAGCTATGATTTCTCCATAGTCATGTATGGATGTGAGAGTTGGACCATAAAGAAGGCTGAATGCTGAGAACAGCTTCTTTTGGACTGTGGTGCTGGAGAAGACTCTTGAGAGCTCCCTGGACTGCAAGGAGATTAAACCAGTCCATCCTACAGGAAATCAGTCCTGAATATTTATTAGAAGGAGCTGATGCTGAAGCTGAAGCTCCAATACTTGGGCCACGTGATGCAAAGGGCTGACTCATTAGAAAAGCCCCTAATGCTGGGAAAGATTGAAGGCAGGAGGAGAAGGGGACGACAGAGGATGAGACGGTTGGATGGCATCACTGACTCGATGGACATGAGTTTGAGCAAATTCTGGGAGTTGGTGATGGACAGGGAGGCCTGGCGTGCTTGTGTCCCATGGGGTCACAAAGAGTCAGACACGACTGAGCACCTGAGCAACAACAATACATATGTGCGTGTGAGTGTGTGTGTGTGTGTGTGTCTGTGTCTGTCTGTGTGTGTGTGTGTGTCTCTGTGTGTGTGTGTGTCTGTGAGTGTGTGTCTGTGTGTGTGTATTTGTGTGTCTGTGTGTGTGTGTCTGTGTGTGTGTGCTGTGTGTGTGCGTGTGTCTGTCTGTCTGTGTGTGTGTGTGTGTCTCTGTGTGTGTGTGTGTCTGTGTGTGTGTATTTGTGTGTCTGTGTGTGTGTGTCTGTGTGTGTGTATTTGTGTGTCTGTGTGTGTGTGTCTGTGTGTGTGCTGTGTGTGTGCGTGTGTCTGTCTGTCTGTGTGTGTCTGTGTCTGTCTGTGTGTGTGTGTGTGTCTCTGTGTGTGTGTGTGTCTGTGTGTGTGTGTGTGTGTCTGTGTGTGTGTGCTGTGTGTGTGTGTGTGGTCTCTGTGTGTGTGTGTGTGTCTGTCTGTCTGTGTGTGTCTGTGTGTGTGTGTGTGTCTCTGTGTGTGTCTGTGTGTGTGTGTCTGTGAGTGTGTGCCTGTGTGTGTCTGTGTGTGTCTGTGTGTGTGTGTGTGCTGTGTGTGTGTGTGTGTGTGTGTGTCTGTCTGTCTGTCTGTCTGTGTCTGTGTGTGTGTGTCTGTGAGTGTGTGTCTGTGTCTGTCTGTGTGCCTGTGTGGTCTGTGTGTGTGTGTGTCTGTGTCTGTCTGTGTGCCTGTGTGGTCTGTGTGTGTGTGTGTGTGTGTGTGTCTGTGTGTGTGTGTGTATCTGTGTGTGTGTGTCTGTGTGTGTCTGTGTGTGTGTGTGTGGTCTCTGTGTGTGTGTGTCTGTGTGTGTCTGTGTGTGTGTGTGTGGTCTCTGTGTGTATGTGTGTGTGTGTGTGTGCTGTGTGTGTGTGTGTGGTCTGTGTGTGTGTGTGTCTGTGTGTGTGTCTGTGAGTGTGTGTCTGTGTGTGTGTGTGTGTGCTGTGTGTGTGTGTGTGTGTGCGTGTGTGTGGTCTCTGTGTGTGTGTGTGTGTGTGCTGTGTGTGTGTGTGTGGTCTGTGTGTGTGTGTGTGTGTGTGCGTGTGTGTGGTCTCTGTGTGTGTGTGTGGTCTGTGTGTGTGTGTGCGTGTGCGTGTGTGTGGTCTCTGTGTGTGTGTGTCTCTGTGTGTGTGTGTCTGTCTGTCTGTGTGTGCCTGTGTGTGTCTGTGTGTGTCTGTGTGTGTCTGTGTGTGTGTGTCTGTGAGTGTGTGCCTGTGTGTGCCTGTGTGTCTCTGTGTGTGTCTGTGTCTGTCTGTGTGCCTGTGTGGTCTGTGTGTGTGTGTGTGTGCTGTGTGTGTGTCTGTGTGTGTGTGTGCTGTGTGTGTGTCTGTGTGTGTGTCTGTGAGTGTGTGCCTGTGTGTGCCTGTGTGTGTCTGTGTGTGTCTGTGTGTTTGTATGCATATTCGGTCTTTGTCCTGGGCTCCAGACAGAGCTTCTTAAACCCTTGGGGTGTCCTGAGAGATAGGGGCATCTATTGTTTTTCATAAGAAGCCCGTCTGTATCACCCGAGTTGCTGCTAGCAGGGTGACTCAGGTGGGGTCCCCTCGATAGTATGAAGATGGGGCAGGTTAACAGGTAGATCCCGTGATTAAGGGTTGGAACTTTGAGCCCCACCCACCAACCTCCAGGATGGGGAGGAGGCTGGAGACAGACTGCAGAAATTCTTGGACAACAAGACGTGATGAGCTTTGGGGTCAGCGGACGCCCGGAGCTGCTGGGGGGTGGTCTGCCCGTCCCGGGGGCCTGTACCCTCCCTGCCCTCTCCCCCACCCACCCGTCCTGGGCCTCTCTTCCACGCAGCTGTTCGCAAATTGGACCCTTTATCATTAACTAGTAAAAGTGAAGTGTTTTCCTAAGTTCTCTTCATCATTCTAGCAAATCACTGAACCTGAGAAAGGGGTCAGGGGAGCCCCCAGGTTGCAGTCGGCGGCCTGCAAACCCCTCTGCGGCTGGCCTCTGAAGTGGGGGCCGGTCTGTGGCCCTGAGCCCTTAACCTGTGGCGTCTGCACACTTAGTGTCAGGATTGAACGGAATCAAAGGACAGCCAGCTGTGCTGGGAAACTAAGAACTGGTTCATTGTCAGAGAAATCACACACCAAGAATCATGCAAATAAAGAGCAATGAGAACCATCCAAATGATAATGATAAACAAAACCCACAATAACGCAGTCAACCGCACATGATGCTGATGCCATCCTGGCTGCTCACACAGAAGGGTGAGGCACCCCGCTTCCTGGCGGTCAGAACCCACTGACTGCTTCCACAGGGAGTGTCCTACGTCAAGGTCAGTGTTAACACACCAGGAGGCCAAAGGGCCTGAGCGCCCTGAGCTCTGAAGGTCGGGTAGAGCCGGGGAGGAAGGCGGGTGGGCAATGCCCGCTGCAGTCCGCAGAGGACCTGCAGCGCGGCGGCCTGGCAGGGGCCCAGCCCTCAAGCCAGCATGGGGCGGTGGGGCTGCCCCCCAGGGACCCTGGCTGGCTGGTGGAGGGGCCAGGCCCTGTTCCTCGAAGTGGTCTGTGCAACAGAGGAAAGAACTGAGCGTCTGTAGTCCACGTGTCTGTGAAGTGGGAGCCGGAACCCCAAGGAAGCTCCTCACCTTCGTCCCAGGATTCTAGTCCCAGCCGCGCTCCCAGGGGCCTGTCATCCTCGCCAGCCCTGAGCCAGCCCGCCTGCCACCCCCGCAGCTCTTCCAGCTCCAAGCTCCAAGCCTCCCTCGGCCCC